AAGGGCCACGTTTCGACGGTGGTTTACCGTGAGATGTTCTGCATGCTGTTGCCATCTCATGCGGAGCCATCCACCAACAAACACACGTGAGACCCAGGGGGTTCAGGCTGAACTACCCTGAAATTAAACCCACTCCTGTCAAAGCACATGGGATTAGCAGCTGGGTGACAGGTACAACTTTAATTACATTTTTGGGCTTTAGCCAGCAAACGCGTCCCCACTGAGCTAAGTGCCCAGATACTGAAGCACATGCTTGTCAGAGCAGCAGGTGACAGGTCTCGTACCAGAGGAGAGCATGACGAGACCGTCCGTGGAACAGAGCCAAACCGCTGTCTACCGCACATCGCTTCCGAAGGGGAAGGAAAAGGCGAGGACCCGCTCCTCTCCCCGACGCACCCTGAACAGCACACGGAACGCCCGAGCCAGACAGCAAATCTGAAATAAAGATGTACCGCTCTCTCGCCTTCATCAAACGCACGTGTGCACACACAAGATACACAAGCATGCACACAAGAAAATGAGAGTCATGTCTCTGGAGCGAAGCAAAGTATCAAAGTCAGAGCCATGAGGGCCAGGGTGTGCGAACCCGAGCAGCACTCCTGTCAGAGCACAGCCGCGAGGACACCGACCTGGGAACGGTGGGCGGTTCTCGTTTGCTTTTGCAAAGCCTCCTGACTGTCCTCAAAGGGCTGTGGGTCCTTCTGGAGGCGCTGGAGGTGTAATACAAGAAGGGAATTTACCTGTGAGACCCTCACTTTTTGACCTTTCTTATAAAAAGTCTTCCGAAGTAAAAACCAAACTTGTATTCACCAGAGCCTACCCACAGTGCCTGCACCACTGCAAGTAGTAAATGTCTCCTGATTAAACAAATGAACATGCTGCAAATTACAGCGCATGCTGAGTCGACCGCCAGTGGGTCACCGCAATCACAGGCAATTAAAACAAATGTGAGAAATGGCTCTCACGGCCCAACTTGTCCGCATTCACACACAATCAGACACAGTGAACGCATACGCCTCTGTGGAAGCTGCATTTTCAGATGGGCACAGTCTGCCTCTGAAATGCTTACAAGCGGCACAATGAGACTGCAGTCAATGTTGCTGGCATGAGCAAAGGATGGTTTGATCACACCCAGAGAGAACTGCTGGCTTCCGTCAGAAAGAACTCGGGGAATGCCGTGCAATGGTGGACTGCTTGACAGGGACGCTGCTACGGCTTTGAGTCGGCGCCGCTGTAAACAGGGCGACAGTGCTCCCCGCTGCTTCTGCAGTTGTCTAAGAAATGAGAATAATGGGAAACAGCAAGACACTGCGCCAGGGACTGAAAACCTGAACTTAATGCTTACAAGCCTACCAACTTGGATGACACTGATCTGGCCCTGTGCAAAATTGCTTTTACTGAATGGGCTATTGTCAAAGGCTCCGTGTACTGCTGCTCAGAGAACTCTCCATAAAACCTGCCAGAGGCAATACTTCCTTGGGCCTGAGCGCTGGCAAAAGCTGTCCTTTAATCTCAGCATGCTCATCTTACAGACATGGTGCCACTGCAGCTGCATTGCCCTTTTCACTCCGCCTGCCAGGAGCTGCCAGCTAAAGGTCAAGTGCCCCCTGCAGGGCCGTGGCGGGTACCACACCTGCATTTCTACTTACTCTCTGGTTCCATTTTACCAGTCACCCTTCTTTTTCTTAGACCCTAATGCCTTTATCTTTATCTTTAACTTCATGACTCTCCATAAACTTCTGACGATGTTTTTAAAACAGAAAAAGAAACGTTACAATCTTTAAAGCTTCAAATAACCAGAATACTTCAAGCTGGATGTTCTTACCTTGTTTCCCCCAAACACACTCCCTCGTGCCTCTGTGCCTTCCCCTTCCCTACAAAACCCCTCTCCTCCCCCTTGCCCATGCAGTAACCTTAAACTCAAACTTCAGAACCAGTTCAAAAGTTACTTTCCCCAGAGGCCCGCCCTGACCCTGCGGCCACCTCCTTGTCCTGCGCTCCGGGGCTGCTTCGTTGGCATCTGTCATGGAGCTGCCCCAAGCCACGTGGAGGGCCTGCTGGGTGTGCGAGTGGGTCCTTTCCTTTGCCAGGACAGAAACACTGCAAGGTCTGGTTGTTTGTTTGTTTGTTTGTTTGTTTCAATCCAAAAGCAACAGCAGCAGCAGCTGGTGAGTGCACGGCTCTAGTTCAACAACGAGTCTAGTTAACGGGACGAGCTAATCAGATGTGCCGGCCCGGGGGTTATGCTCTTCCTCTGCACGCACCCTGGCACGGTAAGGTGAAAACACTCCCCATCACGTTTCCGCAGACCCTGCAGCAGCCAGTGACCCCCAACACCTGGCGTAAAACATTCCTATGGGATGGGCACAGCCAAATTCTTAGAGTGTAACCAAAGTTTAATGCAGCTACCCCTGTGATGCCACACATACACACAAACAAAGAAGCCACAGCCCTATCGCCTTGCCAGAAACATGCACATGGCCTGACGTAGAAAAGTAGCCGTGAGATGCTGGAAGCCAAGTCGCAGGCATGCTCACGCAGGGAAACATCTGCAGTGCCTGCTGTGGTTCTGCTCTGCCCAGTGCCCTGACACAGAGCCGCGCTTCCTCCGGGTAACAGTGATTTCCCCCACACACATGTGGTTCCAGGGCAAGCTGACGATGGTGATGGTGCACACACACACTGTTGACAAAGGACAACGGGTGTGTGACCCGGGCTGGGCCTCTCAGCACCTCCCCCCTCGGGCCACCCTGACCGTGGAGTGCAGCCCTCCTTCCTCTCAGTGCCGAACGAGGGAGACGCAGTCCCGGCGGGGCGGCAGTGGCGGGTCCTCCCACCTGGCACTGGAGGAACTGGATGCGAGACAAAGAAGCTGCTCTCGGAGGGACAGAGACCGGTCCAGGCAGTGTCCCAGTCACTTGTCCTTCTAGCAGTTTAGTTACAAGACAACCAATGTCCCTTTTGGCCTAAGAATAAATATTTTTGATCAACAGCAGCCCAAAACTGATTTAGAAAGAGCATGTTAACACACACAAGTGAATTATGGAACTGACACGATCTGACAAGAGGGACAGGTAAATGAACGATAGCACGCCCTCTTGATGGAGCTATCTAGCAGCTACTCACTGCCGGAAGTCATAATATAAGAAAAATTACATATTTTATATGTGAGTGTGTGTGTGTGTGTACATCTATATAACCTACATGCATCCCCCATTCAGATTTTATTGAACATTTTTGTAATGACAGTGACGGAAAAGGGGGACCAACTATTTCCAAGTAAATTAAAAAAAAAAAGAACCCTGTTATCCCACAGGTTTTGTTCATCTAAAAAAACTGTGAGGGATATAAACACCAACTACAAAAACTGCACCTCTGTGAAAGGGCAGGGTCGCCCACAAAAGCACACTATGCAGACCTCACTCCCCCCGCTCAGTTCAAGCACCCCCTCCCCATGGCGGGGTCCCAGGCTACTGGATCCTACGAGGGCCTGTGCGCTGACCAATACCTTAATTAGCTCTGGGTCTCAACCCGCTTTGCATTTTGTCACGTACACCATTTTCAACTCTCTCAGGAAACTAAAACTTTCAGACGCCATGCCTTGTGTTCCCATCAGCACCTAAACCAGGTATATTTAGTGTTTAACAGCACTGAATAAATACAGGGGCAGGTCTTTTAATAAGTTGGAGTAAACTGGTACTCTCTAATATCGGTGGCAACATAAACTAGACCAGCCTTTTAGACAGATAATCCGACAGCCTGATTAACTAGTACAAAGTATCTGTCCCACCTGACCAGTGATCTCGTGCCTCAGAGTCTGTCTAGGAATTGCAGAGAAAACGCCTCTATGACCAAAGATAGCCACGACAGCACTATTCAAACAGCCAAAATGCCCAACAGAAGAGAAAAGCATTAAGTAAGTCATGTGAAATCTATTCAGTGAGGAGTACGTACCACTCGACATAATCACTCTGGAGTCTACGCAGCATGGGGAGATAGATGCCGTGTTAGAGGAAGTGATCTGAGGACATGTCCATGACAAAGGAAGGGGCATGGGGACATGTCTGTGATAGAGGAAATGACATGAGCGGATGCCCCATGTGACCGAAGAACACAGACAGGATTCAGTCTCTGACTACACAGGGGGCCAGCTGCACCAGGATGGAAGGGTGATGTCAGAAAACAGTTACTTTGTTGGGAGCGGCACAAGGGTAGGTGACAATTTCTTATGTCTCTGAATTTCCACTACTGCTCTCTCATGCTCATCAAAGTTTCTGTTGAACTACATACTGTATTCAAATCAAATATAAAAAAGTTGTAAAAGATAAATTATTTTCTTCCTGCCAACTTCAGAGAAAATTCTTTAATGCTAACGTTCAATGCTGAATAGAGTAAGCTTCAAAAAATCACTCATATAGGGAACCATGGTATAATCTTCCTGAAGAACAATTTTGAGTATATCTCTAAAACAGTCTTAAAATACTCATATTCCTTCACCCAGTAATTATATATCTATCAGGAAAAGAGTGGATAAATATTTGCAGACAAGGACATTAGCTACAGGATTTGTTATAAAGCCAAAAAAAGTGCAATGACCTAAATGTCCTATAATGAGGGACTAGTTAAATAAACTGGAGCACATCCAAGTGATGAAATAGTATGCTTCCTTGCACCAAAAAAACGTGTTTTTGAAGAACACTGATACATGGCAACACATCAAAGAGAGACTGTGGAATTAAAAAAATAGATACAAAAATGCATTTTCAGCTTAATACCACTAATGCCTGGGTAGGGGCAGGGAAACCGTGTAAAAGGACAAAAACATCAACAGTCAAAACACTGACTGCTCGTGTTGAGGCGATCAGATGAGTGCAGTGTTTTCTTCTTTTCGTTTTTCAGATTTTCTAAGTTCTCTGCAATGAATCTCCCTAAAACCAGACACGGCGTAACAGCCCAGCCCACGGCACTGCCCGCTACTCGGAAGGGAACCGGGTGCTCACACGGATGGTGCCGTCTCCTCTGCTCTTCTCCCGACGGGCTGCCTGCAGGTCCTTCTCTAGCCTCTCCTTCTCCTGCCGCAGGTCGCTCAGCTCCTGGGTGACCTTCTTAACGTTCCTACGCAGTCTGTGGTTCTCTGTGCTCTTGGTGAGGTTCTCTGAGTGCAGCGCAGCCAAGAGGGCTGCCTTTTCTGACAGAGCAGCTTCATAATCTCCCTAGAAGAGGAGGCAGAGAAGGGAGATAACTAATTTTCATAGCTCATTAAACAAACCAAAAATTTGTGCTCCTTTTCACCATGGAGTGAAACATTCAGGACCCAGAGCACAAATAATATGAAGATTTGGAAATTACTCAGGGACATGTTTATGTTATGATGTTGATGTTTAAGGGAAGGGGGAAATCTACAATTGTAAAAACAATTTTTTAAGACTAGAAGGAAAAGCACAGAATGTTAACAATAACTGTCTTTCATGAGGTGGGAATATACTTGACTTTTTTCCTTCACTTCTGTGTATTTTCAAATGTTCTAAGGTTAGTAAAGCACATAATTTTTACAATAACTTTCTTAGAAAACGATTTATTTTAAAAAGGCAGAACGAACAGCTCCATTTGAAAAGCAGACATGGGCTCAAGCACTGGCGATCTGTACCTACATCAGAATGGCTCAAACCCAGCAGCAGAGAGAGAAAAAACGCTCAGCACAGCAGCCCCATGGCCACCTACGAATTCTGCAGCATCCAGGGGCTAAGTGTGTCAATACATTCTTATTTCATTAGCACACAGTTCACTAGAGGAATTACATGTGTGATTATCAAGCATGTGAAAAAATGTAATAACTCACCAATAACCAAAAACAGCAAAATAAAGCTGGCTTTCATTTAACAAGTGTTCTCATGAGAATATCCAGTGCTGGAGAGCTTACTGTGAAATGACACAATTCACATTCACTTTTTAAGAACTAACCAAGAATCTAGAAGCCAGGAATGTAATGCTGGCAGGAATGTAAATTAATGTAACTTTGATGGACAGATTACATGTATCAAGTATGTGTGTATCACAAACATATTCACACTCATCCCAGTAATTCCATTCCCAGAGTTCAATCTCAGGGGAAGAACCCAAAATATAGGAGGCAGGGAGCCTTATGCACAATGTCACTCATCGCAGAATTACTTAAACAGTGAAAAGTAAGAAACAACCTACATGTGCAAGAATGTGAAAAGGGGTATAATATATGATAAGCTGCACAATGAAATCTTAAAACTGTATTTACAGAGTTGATAATACAAGAATGTTTTTAAGCTACATGTTACATGAAAAAATTAAAACACAAATTACAGAGTTCCGGCCAAGACGGAAGTGTAGATAGAAACCCTTTGCTTCCTCACATAACCAATCTAAAATGAATAAACAACCAAAAGTGCCAGAAAATCAAACTGCATGGAATTCTGACAAACACAGAAATAAAGAAACAGTCAAACAGAACAACCAGACCCGTAAAGCAGAAGACGGAGCGAAACTGTCTTCTCTGGGAGAGTCCCAGAGAAGTTGGACCCTAGGAGGAACACGCCAAGGCACATCATAATTACATTACCCAAGATTAAAGATAGAGAATCTTAAAAGCAAGACGAAAGGAGGGAGTTACCTACAAAGGAGTGCCCGTTAAGACTAGCAGCTGATTCCTCAAAAGAAACCTTAAGGCAAAAAGGGGCTGGAAAGAAGTATTTGAAGTCATGGAAGGCAAGGACCCACATCCAAGAATACTCTGTCCAGCAAAGCTATCATTTAGAATGGAAGAGCAAATAAAGTGATTCCCAGATAAGATTAAGATAAAGGAGTTCACCATCACCATGCCATTATTAAAATAAAATGTTAAAGGAACTTATCTAAGAAAAGATAAAAAATATGAACAGTAAAATGACAAACAACTATCAACAAATGAACCTAAAAATATAAAAACAATAAAAACTAAGCAAACAACTAGCACAGGAACAGAATCAGAGAAATGGCCATCACATGGAGGGTTTTCAGTGGGGAGGGGGGAGGGGGAAGGGAGGAGTAGGGCGGAAAAGGTACAGGGAACAAGAAGCATTAATTGGGAGGCATTAAATAGACAGGGAGAGGTAAAAAATGGAACAGGAAACAAAGAACTCAAAGAACTGATATATACAACCCATGGGCATGAACCAAGGGTGGGGTAGAATGCTGGAGGGTTGGGGGGTGCAGGGTGGAGGGGGGATAAAGGCGGGGGGGGGGAATTGGGAAAACTGTAATAGCATAATCAATAAAATATACTTTAAAAGATTATAAATGACCTAAAAAATAAATTGCATGCATAGAAGCCTAGAAAGAAAATATCAAAATGGTAATAGTGGTTGGGTGATTTCCTGGTTTCCCTCTTTCTCCTTCTTTCAAATCTTCCAGAAAAAAAGGAATTAAAGCATATATAATACTTATAATCAGGAGAAAACATACTTATTTTTTTTAATCTGTTCTTTGAATTAGACTGAGGGTCACAATTAAAAATTCAAAAGCAAGGAACACCTGAGCTGTAGGTCACAACTCCGACTGTGGAGTAAAGGCACGCTCCAGCTTCTTGGCCTTTCCCAGAAACCGGTCCTGCCGCCACCAACAGATAAGTCAGTCTTCGCTGTTCAGGAGAGGGGGCTACCACCTAGTGAATCTGGCTGGGGGCAGCGGGGTGGGGGGGGTATACGGCGGGCTCTGCTCTCTCGGGGGGGCCCCCTGTGGCCCACCCACCTGGTCCCGGGCTCATCCAATTGCTGCTTTGGACACAGCAGCAGGGACTGAGGAAGAAAGCCATTCAAATTTCAGAGTAGGTTGTACAGAAACTTCTGGTTTGGTTTCCTTTAAAATTAAAATAAATAAAAGGAAGTGGGAAACCTAGGTCATGGGCCAAAAAAAAGAAAAAGTATCTGAGGCAGCACTTATTTAAATAAACTGAAAAAAAAATAAACAAAATAAACAATGATTGGGAAAATGCTCATCATGAACAATGTACATAGTTAGCTTTTATTAAACACTGATTATATATGTAGAGCCAAAACAGGTACTCTTACACCCAGTAATCTCTCCTTCTCATGCCAGTCCTACAAGGCACACGCCACTGCCCCTACCTCAGTAACAGAGGCCCAGCACTGTCAACTGGCTCACTTGTCATCAGACTGTACGTGATTAAAGAGGGACTTCAAATGACATTCTTCCCACTGCTTTGCACAATCCACTGCAGATTCCGATTAACACCAACAAACCAACCACCAAGAAGGAAAACAAGAACTGAATCCAAGGGCAGACGGCTAGAGGCAGGACCACAGAAGCTCGTTCAACACAGACCAGCGATGGTCGTCCTCCCTGAACAGTTCCAAAGGGATGGAAGTCGTGGAACTGTCACACAAATGATAACAAAGCTTCTTTAACAATCCGAGCTCCAAGAATTCAAATTCGTGCATTCTTACTTCACAAAAACTCTTTCCCTATTAAATTTCCTTTAAATGCCCTTTGGAAAACCTCTTCAGAGTTTTCTACCTTTCCCCCACGCCACCCTGCTCTCTGAATCCCATCCCCATAGTTAGATGCCTCCAAGCATTCAGCCCAAGTAGACAAGGTCAGAAGTAAAGGCCAAATACACTGACCAAGTCATTCTTCCCCACTGGGCAGAAGCAAGATGTGTTTGCTACAGAGCGAGCCAGAAAGGTCAGAGTTCAAAGGCCAGTGCCAGCTGAGTGGCATGGGCAAAGGCGACTTCTCTGAAGCTGTCTCCTTGTCTGTGAAAGTGACAGCCTCTAGTTCACACGGCTGCTGTGAAGGCTGCTGTGAAGAGTGCCCGACACACGAGTTCCGTCTCAGTGGGTGCAGGGAAGAAGCTAAAAGCTGTGTGTGTACCACCACAAGTAGAGAATCTGAAAAACGATCAAAGTAACTACTAAATTTCCATGGCAGAAGATACTCCATCCAACCTGACGGCGAGTTTACAACCTGCGCCCAGACCCTACCACGTGCAGCAGGCGGGGCGGGCTCAAATGTCTTGCCCCAGGTCACACTGTTCATGAAGAGCAGAGTCACGACTCAGATCCGTGTCCCACACCATGCCCTTCCCAGCAGAAACAGCACGGCACCTGTATCCGCTGGACTGAAGGCAGCTGTTTAAAGTCTGTTTAAAAAGCACAGATACACACGCACACGCGTGCTAGTCAAACTGTTCAAGTTACTGCATGTGAGTCCACAATTAGCTCAAAATTGCAATTATAAAAAAGAGATTGAACACATCTATTTTTACTGCCATAGAAAAAATACTAGATAGAAAAAAAAAAGATAGAACAAAGTACATACTATAATCCTATTTAATTATTCAAAGGTTTTATGTGTCTATGTAGAAATATGCATTCAAAGAGTCAAGGTGTTAATAGTGAACATCTTTAGATGTGAGATTATCAATGACTTTCATCAACCCTTTCCACTCTCTTAATTATTGCATAAATTTCCTACAATGAGCACTTGTACAATACTTTTATAGCCAGGCAGGGAGGGGAGGAGGAATAATGCTATTTCCAGGACTTGAACATGTATTTTTTAATTGGCTACAGCCAGCCTGCAGGGTAACCTTTACCGAGTCACACACGTGACTGGCTCTCACGTCACTGCACTGTGACAATGGCTCCAGGAGTCTGAGCGTGACTTGATGCTGCGTCAGTGTCAGACTTGAGCCCAGCCCTGTGAGCTTCGTCTATGCTACTCGCACTGCAAATCACATGACACCCCCAAAAGGTCCTGACAAGTGAGAGAAGATGCATTTTCGAATGTACCTACAATGAAATGACCAATGTAAGAATCCTGTGTGTTTTGACTCGCACACACTCAGAGAAGTGGAAAGAACACAGACTGGAGTCAGGCTTCTGTTCAAGTCCTGACGACCCATCAAACGGGCCAACCCGCTGCCTTCACAGGTAAGAATTAAAGGGGCATTCTCAGAACAGCCAACCAGGCATGAAGAGCCTGACCTCCACGTGGTGGGACTCAAGACCCCCCCAGCACTGTGCCTGACCTCAGAAATCATTCTGAAGGTCGGGCAGGACTGCGGGTACTCATCTCAGAAATGTACGTGTAAATCTGATAGCATTTAAGTGTATAACACTACTCACTTTCTTTCAAGGCCCAACATAAGTAAAATATCAGAATGCTTATAAGGACATCTGGTCTCTCTGCTTGTGAATTGCCAATGTATCTTTTTTCTCAAACGAATGGTTTTCCTAAAAACAGCCGTTAAAGCTTGCCATTTTCTAAGTTGGGGGGAAAAAAAACCTCAGGGAAGGGTGTAATCTCAGCCCCACTTCATCAACCACTGCCAAAATGGCGGGGACGGCAGGTCTGAGGTTCCAAAAGCAGAGATTTGTTTATGCTTCTAGTGCACCAGGATTTAAACTGAATTTTGTCCATTCCTCTTATTGTGAATCAACGCTCTGCAAAAGATAAGGCATGAGAGATGAATCTTAGGAATCAAACAAACTCAAAGCAGATTTAAATTTAACTTCTGCTTGATAACTAAAAACACAGGTGAAGGCATGGAAGGAAGAGCTTATGTAGTACAGACTTCTTCAGGTAACAGAGCTTTACTCATTAAGTTACTAGTAACAGGTGCCCACTGTCCAGGGAAACTAGACACATGAGAAGTGTTAAAATAACACAGAACTACAATTAGCAAGAGAAAAGGAAGACGGACAGGATGACCAGCAGGGGCCCTTGCAGTACAACCCTGGGGGAGAGAAGAAAAGGCAGGTCACATCAGCAAGGCCCGGAACAGGAAGCCGGGGAAGCAGCGGGACGAAGAAGCCAAGGCAGGGGGGCTGTGGGGGGACGGCGGAAAACACAGGCTTGGGAGCGAGACTGGCTCCGGGTCAGACTCTATCGCTCACCACTTTTGTGGCCCCGAGTGAGCTCCCTGAACGTCTGAACCCGGTGCAAGGACACCACCAGCAACCACGTCATGGAGCGGCTGCGCACATTCGCTGAGCTGATCTGTGGGCGGCACTTAGCACAGGGTTTGGCACACAGAGTGTACTTAATAAATGCCAACTACTGATAGCAATCGCTACTTTTAAATCCTGGCCCTGCCGCTTGCTAGTCGTGTGACAGCGAATGAAATAAGCGGCCTATCTTCACTGAGCTTCAAAAACCCCACAGACACAAGGGGGATAAATATCTTCCCCAAAGGACTGTACCAGTGAAGATAATCCACACATTCTGCAATCTCCTACCTGCACAAAGTGAACTCCCAACTTGAGGGGGAGTTGTCATCATTATCAATATCACTACTGTCATCATATTGACGAGGGGGCTGGAGAAGCACCCAAAACTGGCAGAGAATTTCCTTTACCTAGAAAGAGAGAGCTCTACCACTAAAGACAGCTGACTTTCCTCGGTTCCTTTCAGCTGCGACGTCCTGACCTCACCAGGAGTAAGGACCAAAAAGACACCACTTCGGCCCAAGTGAAAACTTACCTGGAATTTCTGGGTCTGTGTTTCCTGGTGGGCTTCTTGGGCTTTAGCAAAGGCAGCACTGAGCTCTTCAATTTCGGAGTTTAGTTCTTCGACCTGAGTAAAAATAAGGACTAGCAGCCAAGTACACAACTGGGCTCCTATCTCTGGGTGGCCCAAATGCTTTAACTGCTGAACTCCACTTATACTCAAGGTCTTTGTCTTCAGGCACAAAAAAAACTCTTTCATGAAAGAGACTCCCTCAACTGTAAAATGAAGATGCCACCACTCACCCCACCACAGTGCTGTTGGGTTAAAGGAGGTAATGTGCAGAGGGACTAAAACAATGCCTGGCTCGTACTGTAACTATCACTATTATTGTTGTCCATACAGATGACCCACCCAACAGCCTGGCCTGGCTATTCCCATGTACCCCAGTGAGCCACCAACTACCATGGCCACACCCTGGACTTTGCTGGCACCCAGATCTGCTCCAGCAGGTATTGAAGGTCACTGACTTCCACTGGGCCCTGAACTCCCAACACCATACAAATTATAGCTACTACTACCATGAAGCAGCTCTCTGCTGCATCGGACAGCCTGTCTGAATTAGGTGGCTCTCACCTTGGCTGCTGGCCTGCTGCTCCCATTCTCTCCCCACTTTGACCCCACTATCTGGGCAGAGACCTCACTAAAATGCAAACGTGATCACACCTGTCCTGCCAAGAGTCTTCAGGGGAGCGCCGCCCAAGCAGTGAAACACGAACAGTCCCACCACCTCCAGGTGGCCCTGTGCAACCTCTCCCGCATCTTCTCTCACTTCACCCAAGTTCTGCACTTGATACTCTGACCAACCAAACTGCTTCTGGTTCCATAAAAACATACCGGGCTCACAATCCACTGAACACAACTCACTGACCAATGTTCTCCCCTCGGATGAAACGGCCTCCTTTTCCCTGTCTCCCTTCCCAGCCAATCCTACTCATCCTTTAAGACCCAGCTCAGACACCTTTCCCTCAAAGTACCACCCGCCCCCTTCCCAAATACACACCCTAAGCTGGATTAGGTCCCCTTCACTCCACCTCCACAGCCCCCTGCACATCCCTCTGTCACAACCTTTCTTTCCCTGCCTGTCTTCCCCATCAGGCTTGTGAGCACAGTCAGGCTTTCTTCTCTGTGCCAAGCACGGTCACTGAGACAGAACAGAGTGCTAAACCATTGACAAGAAAACAGCACGGGATCATTCGGCCACCACCTTGGGTCCCGCAGACAGCAACCCATGTAACTATCTGACTACCGTGGCCTTACTCCCCAAAACTCCTTTATCTCAATGTTCTGCTCTCTTTCAAAAGATCAGACCGGCACTGTCCAATACAGTAGCCAACAGCCCCTGTGGCTGCTGAGCACCTAACCCTGGTTAATCTGACTTGAGACGTGCTGTACGGATATCTGGGCTTCAGATTTAAAAAATGTCAAATACTTCACTACTACATTCTATTGATCAGATGTTGAAATGATACTATTTGCCATATATAGTAAAATTGATTTCACTTGCTTCTTTTTACTTTTTTTTGATACGGCTTTAAAAAAATTAAAATTTTACCTGTAACTCACATATTTGTGTTGTGATTTACATGCCAAAAGAATTTCTAATTGACCAAAGGACCCCTGCTCCTCTTTCTACAGTCATTTCAGCTCTCCCATACACTTTTTACATAGAGCTCAAAGTCCAGGGCAGAACAGGTCAGTCCGGAGGATGACAAGAAAGAAACCCACTCGGGTGTGTTGGACGTACCTCTTTTTCCTTCGACTTTAATGCCAAGGCTAGGCCCTGAATGGCTTTATCCCTCTTTAAACTATTTTTCTTCTCTGTAGCAATTTCTCTTTCCTTCTCTCTCAGGTCCTCCTGAAGTGCCTAAATTAGATTAGAAAAAGATCCACTAAGGTGATGTGTTCCAACCGAAATGCACTGTAAATATATCTTTAAGAGCACACTCAAATGCAGTTATTCTATCTTATTCCTGTCAGCCTGTGATTAATGCTTCCAAGTCGGGCTGAACACAGTAGCGTCGGCTCCAAGTTGCTGTGCTACTGCTCACGGCAACCGGGCTGGGTGAAAGGAAGGGATCGGATCAGCTAAGACGATGACAGCTACTCCTACAGGAAGGACAGCAATGCCTTCTGGAATTTGAATACAGTCACATCAGAGTCTTTGAAACCGTACCAGGTTATTTGGGGGAAATAACAGATCATTAATTTCATTCCTTAATGCTACAAAAGCTAGCACAGAATTCGGTCTGATGGAGACAGAACATATACACTTATAGCATGAGTTCCCTTCTAAAGATAATCACTGCTGCCTCCCTCCCAGCCTGTCGTGAGGATCAAAGGAGATCACAGACGTGCAAGTACTTTCTAAGCTGGCAGGTGCTATACAAATGCCAGCTGCTGGGACGGAGGGGCCACGGAACAATGGCTGTGCACTCAACTACAAGTCCAAGTCCCTACTGTATCACCTCCCAGCTACGTGACTTTGGAGAAGGAACCTCACTGAGGCTCTGAGCCTCACATGCCACATCTGCAAGATGGGAATGACTGCTTCACAGAGTTGTTACAAAGACTGAGAAACCCTCTTCACAGTACCTAAAGCTTGGCTGGTAGACAGTAGCATTCAATGAGTGACAGCTAATGTCACACAGAATTATCTCCTGCACTCGGAATAAGGCAAGAGCCTAGGACGAATCTTCAACACATTTTTTAAAATTGCATCAACATACCTGGATCCTCTCTTCAAAGCGATTTCTCTCTGCCTGGTACTCCATTTGTGCAGCCTATGAAAAGGCATTAATTGGTGACCAAAAGAGACCCACAACCCAACAGCTCCCCCAGGACAACCTCATTTACTTGCTGCTCCCCTGCCATGGAGCTCATGAAAGCAAGTGTCCCATCCAAGTGAAGAAAAATGTGCAGATGAGCAACCCACCCTCACGGACCACCAGCCCCACACATAGTAAAGCCAGGAGCTAGTGGATGATGAAAAAAGACAGGGCCAAGGAAGTGAGACAGAGAGTCAAAAGGGGCAGGGGACGGAGGCTGATGACAGCCAAAGACTAACTGGTGAGGCTAAAGAATTCACTGCTGTGTCCGGGACAAAGGAGACCCTGTGACACAAGGAAATCGAGACTTTGCACGAGCATCCAGAACATCTCCTAAGGAGAACACAGCACACACAGCAGCTGCCGTGGTCCAACAAGAACGGGGAGGTCTGGACCAGGCCTACCTGCACTTCCAGGTCCTGCCCACCCTCTTCAAAAGAGCTCGTCCTGGAGGCCGCCTAGGGCGCAGAGAGGTCCAGGAGGCTTTGGGGTGGGTACTAGTAACCCACCTCTTGGAGCCTAGGAAAATATAACAACTTCTCTGAGCTGAGACTGTTTCTAAACTCAGTGAGGGACCATGACCTCTACCCTGCAGCGTAGCCTGGATTCAGTGAGGCTGCGCGCTGACTCCCTCTGGGAGCTGCAGCCCCAAACAGGTTAGTGCCCTGCCCCCACTGCCTCTAAGTCACAAACCAAGTTGGCCTTACACCAGCCTCTAGCCAGAAAAGGGAAAGCAGGTAGGTACCACGATGTTACCCTAAGAAAACCCACAGGTGAAAATAAAGTCCCTGGGCCACAACCAAACAACACACAGTAAAACAGAGGTGCGCAGGTATGGAGTGATTTTTTAACCAGCTGTAGCAACACAAGCCTGGAAGGGAGAGGAGATGCCAGGCCCCCGGCAGAGGAAGCTTCTGCCCACTCCCCAGCTAACGGGGGTGAGCCGTGGGCACTGAAGGAGCATCCCGTTTCCCTCGGTCTGGTCTGCTCACTGAAGCCCCCACTGCGTGTCCTGCTGCCTCACCTGGGTTTCTCTCTTCTTTTCTTCCCGCAGAGCAGCAGAAAGTCCCTGGAGCTCTGCCGATGACACGTCCTCATCAGGAGACACCATCTGAGATCTCTCCTCTCTAAGGCACTGAATTAAAGCTTCTTTGCTCTTCAAAGACAGCTTCAGCTCCTCAATCAGTCTAAAAGAGAGCAAAATTTAAATATTAATTCTAAGCTGCTCTCTTAGCTCAGTGGAGCAGGAGGATGTTGGAAATGGGGCCAGACATCTTCAAAGTAGACATGTCCAATGACTGACCACGAACGAAACTGCATTTTGTAATTCAGGGATCAAGGGCCGGAATTCATGTGACGTTAACTGTGCCCTCACCTCCAGCCTGGCTCAGGTCCACTCAACCTCTGGCCAGCTGCCAGGCTACGGTCTGGCTGAGTTGCAGCCCCACTCAGATGACCAACAGCCCCCACTGACGGCAGTGGATCACTGACTGTTTTGGCCAAGAAGTCTTCTCTCCAAAAGAAACCTGGCACTGCACATAAACAAACATGACCAATAAAGCAAAACTATTCTGGTAAATGTGTGGAGGGGGGAAGGGAGGACGTCTGTCTAAGGCTTCTCAGGTCAAAGGTTAAAATACACTGTCTTCCAAAATAACAGCCAAACTCCTCAACGAGACGGTCAAGCCCAAGCTCTCAGGGCCCACGTCAGAGAGGCCCCAGTGCATCCTCTCCAGAGACCGGGCGGGGCTGGGCCGCCACACCTGCATTCGCACGACTCCCCGCGCCAGGAACACCCTTCACGACTCTGCTCCTACCCCCACCTGACAAACGCCCACAGTCCTGCCAGGCCTAGTCAGGCACTATTCTCATTATTCTCAAAGATTCCTCAGGGAATCTTTGCCAACAGACACCCCCAGACCCCCTCAGGTAGAGCTGAACACGTCCTTCCCGAGGCCACCAAATCACCTCTGTCCGCCGCTCCCTGACAATGGCCAAATTATTTAAGCTTTCTCAGGCTGCATTTCCTCAGCTATGAAATGGGGGTAACTTGCTTATGTGGAATGGAGATAAGCTATTTAAAACGGCCCTACACAGCTCCAGGCATATGGCAGAACTCAACAAATGACAGTTGCTATAATTATTACTTTTCTTTTTAGCACTCGATGATTAGCATTTTGTCAAAGGACCCTAAGAAGAGTGTTTCCAGCTAAGCCTACAAAGCAACTTACTCTGGTAGAAAAGAGGACAGGCTCCCGGGGTGAAGGTGGGGAGAGAGCGCTGAAAGCAGTTACAGCACGTGGCAGTGCACTGGGGCACTGTCTGAACATGTGTGTCTCCTGACAGTGCTGGCGTTAGGAGGTGGGGGCCTCTGGGAGAAGATGAGGTCGTGAGGGCGGAGCTCCCACAGCTGAGAGTGGCATTTTATCAGTGAAGCTCCGGACAGACCCCTGCCCCTTCCACCAGGTGGCGACACAACAAGAAACAGGACCTGAAACAAGGCCCTCACCTGACCATGCTGGCACCCTGATCTTGGACTTGCAGCGTTCCGAATAATTTCTGTAAGAAATAAATTTCTATTGTTCACAAATGACCCAGTGTGTGGAGTTTTGCTATGGCTCCAAATGGACCAAGACAACTGGCTACAGAGGGAACTGGCGGCACCAGTACAATGCCCCCGAAACTAGGAAAGAGGAGTAAGAGTGCCCTCTAGGGGCTCAACTCTGAAATCGTCATATAGTCAACTGGAGAGGTAGAAGTCATCAAACTAAACGAAAATGGATGTGTTATGTGTGTGCAACTCACACCTCAATGAAACTGATTTTTTAGTTAACTTAAAGCAAGTCCTACGAGGGGTGGAGACGAGTGGGGCAGGTCTGTGGGGCTGCAGCCAAACAGGAGCACCAGGCACTCCAGCAAGACCATGGCCCAGTCCTCCCAAACCTCCCAGGTTTTCAAGAGCATCTGGAAATCAAGACTTTTAAACAAAATTAGATTTTTTTAAATATTAGCAACTAGTTCAACTCCAAAAAATCATATAAAACGTATCTGTTGGCCAAACTTGACCTGCTGGACCCCTCACTGTCAGTTGCCTTAAAGATACAAACAAGCTTTAAGGTCTGATCAAAGGGAAACAAGCCACTACCACACACGGCCCTTCCAATAGGTGGGGGGTGGGGCCGGAAACACATCCTGTGAGGGCCCTACCCAAAGCCCGGTCACACTGTGTGGCAGATGTGAACCCACTTCGCCAGGGCATGGCCAAGGACCCTTATTCCAATTCCGTGCTTAGCCCCCACCTTCTGACATTGCTTTAGCTTCCCAGACAGGCCTGCCTTCAGGGAGGAAACACAGCGCCCCTCGTCCCAGAGGAGTTCCACCAGAGAGGGCCACACCCTGAGCCAGCAGAGGCCCACAGTGGGCATCTGGCGGCTGCTTCGCTCTCTGGGATGTGGCTGGGCACACCTATCCTGCCCCCCACCCCCGGTCAGACACATCTGCAGTTCTGACAAATCGGTTTCTGTGCCTATCCAGACCCATGGGAAACCCCAGGAAGACAAAGCCTTTAGCAAGGCCCTGACCAGACTACCCACACCCACGGAGACCCCACCACTTGGACCAGCAAGTACTCAGTAAGCACTAACCCTTCCCAAATCCTCTTTCCAAGAAGGAAGAACCCAGGTTTCTGTACTCTCCTCAATAACCTTGAAATGAGCCAGGCTCCACACCCTTGCACATGCTGCTCCCTCGCTCCCTCGCTCCCTCTCGAGGAGAGGTTTCTTCACCAACTCTCAGCACGCCTCCCCCGACAAGCTGTCCCTGCAGAGCGGGCCACTCCCTTACATTTGTCACAGCACAGAACCCTGAACTTACCTCCGGGACCAATCTATTCTTACATCTGTCCCCCCACACACTTGGGAACTCCTTATTAGGAAGACAGTGCTCATCGCTGCATTCCTGGCACCCAGCACAGCTGTGCTCAGTAGTTGTCTCGTGGATGAATCCTCAGCTTCTCTAACTCAGGCCTTAATCCACAGGCCCAATCTCAACTCCCCTGGTGGGTGCCCACAATTCCTCAACCCAACATGTCCCAACTGAAAGCTCATCTTCCCACTCCCTCTACCCAAAAACTCAGCAAACTGCACTACCATCCCACCATGGCTCACTGGGGTGAGGGGTAACTCTGCAGCCTGTTCCCTCAGCCACAGATCCAATCAGCCACCAAGCCCTTCAAGCCAGTGTGTGCTTCTACCTTCTACCATACATCTCTCTCTTATCCTGTAGTTGTCACCTCAATCCTGTCACCATCAAGATTAAGGGGAAAAGGGACATGAAGATTGTTTTTCCCTTTTTCCTTTGGCCACCAGGAAGCTTTCAGCCAAAACTGAACGCTAAATTGAGTATCTGAATGGGAAGTTCCAGCGTGAATTTCTATCTACTACCTCTGTCTCTGTCCTCATACCCCTAGTTTTCTTACCATGGGGACAGGGAGGGGGGCACAGGGAAGGGGAAAGTAGGGACGATGCTTCCCCATGCTGCCAGACAAATGCCTGCCAGGTGTCACACAGACAGAGCCAGACCTGTCTTTCTCCTCCAGGACCAGAGCCACGTCCACGTTCCCCTCGTGCACCTTCTTCATCTCCGAAAGCTTGTTTTCCAAGCTTAGCCGCAGAGCCTTCTCCGTCTCTGTCCCTGCAAAGGCCTTTTTCAGTTCTGCTTGGGCAGCTTTCACATCCTAGAGTTAAATTAAATGCATGTGATGCAATTTTTCAATACAATTGGGAACACTTTGAAAGGAAATTGGATTAAAATATAAATATTTATGACTTTTTCTCTGGCACATCTCCCCTCCCTCAATTGTACTACAACGGGGAGAATCGGCAATAAATACATCTGCCAGCCATCCTTCCTTCTCGTACGGTGAAGAGTAATAGGCATTTCCAATGGAAAAGACTCAACTCTATAAGAACCGTTTTGGTTTTGAAAAATCAGATCGATATTTACAGCTCGATGAGAACAAGGAGAAATGTGCCTCTCAATACCTAAACATACATAAATTTCAAAGATTTACCATAATCTGCACACAAATTCATCCCACACCCCACCGCCCCCTCACCAGTGTTTTTTACGATAATGACTACACGATCCGGAAGTACATTTCCTGTATCTCCGAAGTGATTCAGGTGGTGGGAAACTGCGTTCCTCCAGAGCGCTCGGAGAAAGCAACAAGGAAACTAGTCCCGCAGGCAGGGTCCTGTTAGGGAAAGAGGCCCTGGTGCTCGGGCAAGTGACCGGGGAGTAGCCGGGCAGCTCCGACTATTCATGCCACCTGCCTCTGATTACACTACAAGCCTAAAAGTGAAATCCTACTGTTCAAAACCCAGCTCCCACTGACTTGCTGTGTGACCTTGAGTAGTCACTTAACCTCTCTGAGCCCCAGCTTCCCAACCTATACAACAGGGATAACCATCATCATGTCAGAGAATTGTTGTGAGACCTGTCAAATGCCTGCCGCATCACAGGAAACTCAGACAAACGTGGCTCCTGCCCACCCTTTCCCTCCAGTGCCTCCCCCAACACTGTCTCCCCAAGAGGCCTGTCTGTCAATCTTAGTGATACCTGGGGAAAATCCCGTCCCAATTTGCTGAGACCAAACAACAACCCTCTTATTTACTGAGAGCCGACTCCATGCCAGGCTCTATTTATAACACTACCTTTGATCCTCACTCGCCCTCAAAAGTGACAGACTGCCCCAGTTTAGAATGCAGGCTCTGCAGCCAGACCTCCGGCATTTTCTGCCTGTGTCACCTTGAACAAGTGACTCAGCCACTCTGTGCCAACGCCCGTCACATTTTTCCTGTTGTTGTTAGAGGGCGATTAAAGCATTTACGTCCTAGGTTTGTTGAGGGATTACCTACGTCGGTGTGTGCAAGGCTGAGAAGGGTGCCTCCCCCGTGATGAGCCCCTGACAAGTTGCCAGTTGCACTGCCGTCACATTACAGTGACTGCAGCAAAGCAGGCGGCACCAGCTCATGCTACAGAGGGAGAGGCAGAGGCTCAGGGAAGGTGAACGCTTTATCCGAGGTGACGAGGCTAGTGAGGGACTGAGCAGGGATTCAGGTGTTGGCTGTGCAGGCACCTGAAAACGCTGGGAAGCACTTGCTGGGAAAAATAAGATGAGTGAACAAGGTCAGGTTAAGTGTCTGAAAAGTCTCGCGATCATCTTAACTAAAACTCCAAGCTTGGATTCGGAGACCCTTGTTGGGCTCAGAGCGGTCCCACCCAGCTCTACCACTTAGGACCACGCCTGGTTTCTCACCCTCTCCAAGCCCCTTTCCTCATCCACATGATCAACCTGATGTCTCCATACCCCGCTGAAGCGGACCCAAGGGCGACCCGAACATCTTGACTAGAAAAGACCATTGTAATAAGCTGCACAACACAGCCCTTAAATGTATCCGCTCTTTGTATCAGAAGTGCTTTTCGCTATTTCTCCTCATATCTGCTGAGAAGGATCAGGGTTGCAGAGAGAGAAAGTGAGATGAAACAACAGACTCCAAAGACCAAGGATGCAGTAACTGGTTTACTCAACATTAGCTTTAAGTGGAGGACAACACCTAGGAGCCAGGCCTTCTTAACATGTGACTCCCATCAGTCAGAGGAGCAACCAACTGAGAACCAGAGGGAGGAGGCGCTACACACAGTGCCTCCCCTGAGAAGGGCATCAGTCAATGCTGGTGGCATGGAGGGATGGAGGCTGGACGCTGGGGACAGCATGCATGGACACACAATGGCCAGAGGTCAGAAAGTCTGGTCCCAGCATTAGCTAATGATGGGTGAGTCACTTTCCTTCTCCGGGCCTCAGTTTCCACTTCGGTGAAAGACCGGCATTGAACTAGGGAACAGGAAGAGAGGTGCAGCAAGAGGGAGGGGTTTAGAATCAGCGGTCAGACATCTAAATGCAGACTAAACTGGGACTGGTTAGCACTTCTCTCCGTGCCTGTGTCCTCACCTACGGGAATGAGAAAATGATGGCCAGTGTGCAGGGTGTACGAGTATAAATTCTCTACGTCGAGCGCGCGGAATGGGGCTGGAACCACGGAGATGCTCAGTGAAGACGGCTGTGGTGTCTGCGAAATTCTGACAGTTATGGGGGAAAACACAATTCTGCCCACTCCGTTATCGTAAGAAACCATTCTCCTCGGGGTTTCCAGACTTGCCTCTTCTAGAAGGAGTATCCTTTTGGTTAGGAGATCCTCAACCTGCTTCACCTTCTTCTGAGCATCCTCCTTCACCCGCCGAACTTCAGATCCGCCCCCTTCAGCGAGGCTCTCAACTGCTTTGCTGCAAAAGGCAAATAAGGGCGACAGTCAGGTAGTGATCAGACACCCCAATAAACAAGGAACATTCCCCAAGGCCTGTTTATTTTCATTAATATTTGTAACTCAAAAAACACTGATAATATGATATATAAGTGTATCAAATGAACAGGCTGTGCACCTTAAACTTACACAATGTTATCTGTCCATGATGTGTTAATAAAAACACATGTTATTTAGCCCTGGCCGGGTAGCTCAGTCGGTTACAGCATCATCCCCAAACCCCAAGGTCGTGGGTTCAATCCCTGTTCAGGGTGCACACAAAAAGCATCCAGTGACCCTGGCCGGTGAGGCTCAGTTGGTTGGAGTGTGGTCCCACGGCCGAAGGGCTGCAGATTTGACTCTGCGTCAGGGCACAGACCTAGGCTGCGGGTTGGACTGCCAGCCGGGGCGTGGATGGGAGGTGACTGGTTGATGTGTTTCTCACACTGATGTCTCTTCCCCATCCCCCTTCCTCCCTCTCAAAACCAATCAACATATCCTAAGGTGAGGATTAAGGAAAAATATGTTTTAGAAAAATACATACTATTTTGAAATAAAGTAAGAATCGCTTATAATCTCACCACTCAGGACAGCTAAGTTAACATTTTAGCGCACAGCCTTTGAGGCGTTTCTTCAAAACTAGAATCATACAGTACATATTTGTGATCTGATTTTATTGCTTAATGCACTATAAACATCCTTTCGTGTCAATAAATATAAATTAACATTTAAAGGCTACATATTAATTTTCAGTACACAATATACTATATTAAATCAACCCCTATTTTAAAAACATTTAGATTTTGCACATTTGTCCGACGATACTTAAGAAGCTCTAGAAACAGTGGTCAGTACAAAGTATTCAACAAATGTCAGAGTTACTGTATACTGCGGCGTAAGCAATGTTATGATGAAAGCATCCTTATGTGTATACTGCCCAGGGATTTCCCTAAGGTCAATTCCTAGAAAGAGAATCACTAGGTCAAAGTGTAAATACTCTTTTAAGACTTCACTGACAGTTACTGCCAAGTGTCCCACCAGGAACTTCCAACAAAGACGCCTCCACCAGCGACAGGGAAGCCACTGCAGGAGGAAACCGGCAAAACAAAAGCGACTCAGGAAGCACGACGGGGTCACGACGGGGTCACGACGGGGTCGCCTGCTTCATCGGCCAGCTGGAGGGGAAGCATTTTAACCCCGGCCCAACTCCGTGAGCACGGCTACCACGTAGGACGTGGGGAGGAGACCCGGCAAGCGCCCCCGCTCTGTGCTACTGGAACATACAACGCAGAGCTCCCCTGTCGCTATGGCACCAAGGGGGGGGTGTGCCCTCTCCGCGTGACAGGCAGTGGTGGGGATGGCACACTGAAATCAGGCACAGGGCCAAAACCACTGACACCTCTCATTCTGGTTCTCCCCGAGGAAAAGCGGAATAGGACACGACTTCAGTTCTCAGGTTTCTGAGGTGACTGCGGGTTCCTGAAGGCAGAATAACACGAGGGAAATGGCTCCACCTACAGCTGGTTTCTCAGACTCTATTCACCACCAGCCTCCCAATAAGACTTTCCCAACCAAGAGCCACGCAATCTGACCCGCACATGCACCAGCCATGCGAATCTGTGACCGAGAACAATGGAAAGTCAAGAGGGCCATTCTTGCTGCCCAAGTCTCAAACACGAACTGCCTGCAGATAAAGACTTTATTCATATCGTGTTCCTTCCACCAGTGCGCCTTCAGAAGGCCCTGGTGTCATGATATCACTTGAATGGAATTCGATGTGAACAACTGGAAAGAAAGCACAGGGGCTCTGAAGCTGAACCGATCTGCTTCCAAATTTTTACTCTATTACGTGCTCCATGTCACTGTGGGTGAATTACCTCTTACACCTCAGTTTCCTCATTAGAAGGATGAGGTGACATCCTCTCAGGATGCACACGCTAACAGCTCAGGGCTGCTGCAGGACAGCCTGTTGTCCCCGAGCCACCCACCAGCCACCCACCGCAGTGACTGCCCCCGCTGAGCTGCTGAGCAGCCTCATTCCACCCCCTGCTGGTGTCTGAGCCGAGAAAGGATCACCTGTTGGCCAGAACTAAGGCCATCACAGCCGCTTCCTGATTCACGCCACGAAATGTCCTAATGTCCTGAGCCCACCCCCTCAGCTCGCTTCTTGACTAATACTGTCTGGAGTTCACACAGTCACTTCTGTCACTTCTCAAGAGGTCACACTATATGGCCGCAAGAATTCTGGACTAGAAGCTTTTCCTTCCTGAGCTTTGGATACAGAATTTTCCAGTCCCGAATTTCCTCAAACCACCTCAAACGTTTTAGCCCTTGAGCCCTCTAGAGCCTCCTCCAGAAAACGGCTCACTCGGTGCCCCCCACCCTGCACTGCACCCAGCAGGTGCAAATCCCCTGGCTCCCTCCTACCCGCCCAGGTCAAACCTCTGTGTTGCACAGTCAGCCTCACATACATTATCAAGAGGCCAACCACAAGTTTTAACAAGATCTGGCATTATTCAGTTTGTTTGCATTTTAGTTATACCAATAAAATATACTCCCAATAATAAATGTTCCAACTTTTCATTTATCATCTTTGTATTTTACAGTTACTGTAGCAATAAAATTTATACTCAGCAGTATGGTGCAATTTTCCTCTACTAATGAAATTATTATTTTTGTTTGTGTTTTAAAGCTACAGAAATAAAATTTACTCCCAACAATATGTCTGCTCTGGTTTTTAATGTCCCCTTATGGTAACCGATGGATAAAACAATGGAAAGAACACAGCGGTGTACTCCACAGCACGGAGAACGGGCTGCAGAGCCAGAGCGGCGCCGGCTCTGCTGCCGGCTCTGACCGGCCCACCCACCCCTCTCAGCCGGAGCTAACACTTCGTCCGGATGGGAATAGTGGCCGCCTCACAGAACTGCCGTAAAGTCAAACCATGATAAAGCATGTCAAGTGCCAGGCACAGGATTAGAGGTTAAGAAGGTTCTCGCTGAATGTTAGTTCCCTCCCTTTCCTTCCTTATAGAATTTGGTCCCACAGACGAGACAGACGCCAAGACCTCAGGAGAGGAAAGGCACAGAGAAACCGGTCTGATCCAGCTCTCCACCCGCTGCAGAAATGAACCTTCTATAAACACCACCCTCCCTACTCTTCTTAACCATCAACATTTCCTCTTGATTCTTTCCATTCCAATTATAGTTCTTTAGGGAAAAGCAGGGGCTTTTCCCATATCTCCCATCTGCCCCAAAAAAGAAACCACCATAAAACTCAAAAAGGAAATGGAGAGCATTAGTAAAGAGACATTTTCCACCAACAGGTGTGCACCACACACACGCCGCTAAGTGCCAGGCAGTCGGAGGCACAGGGAGAGGCACACACATGGGTCGGTGGCGGGCGGTGTGCAGATTCCATGGCAGGGAATCCACACGAAAGCCCTACGAGGCAGGAACAGCTGCGCAGCCAGGGTGCCGAGGCCACAGTCTCACCTGCTGGCAGAGCCAGCCCAGAGCCCCCGCCCCTTCCACCACCCTGCACTCCGCTAAGGAAGAGGCTCTTGGCTAAGGGGATGCCCAGTCATGTTAAAGAAATGAGAAACACACGTGAAAATAAAAAAAGAATATGAAACCTTGTGCTGGACCAGAAGTCACAAACTTGAGTTCTAATCCCAGCTCTGATCTTTCTGGCTGAGTGGTTTTAGTCATGGCCCTTCCCTTCTCCAAATCTAAATTCCTTCCACTCTCAAATGAGGTTTTCCTGGAGATCTGAAGAACGCGCAGGATAATGATGGACTGCAAACAAAAGTGTTTTATAAACTGAAAGTGTTTTATATAAACTGAAAGTGTTTTATAAACTAAAAAGCGCTGCACACAAGTGGGACTGTCATTACATGCCAGAGAAGCTGGTGAAAAGACAGGTGTGGGCTTCCACGTGTGACCCAACAGGAGGCACTGTGCAGGGTGGTGATGGGAAAGGCGCTCGGGCTGAGAAGGGCTGAGAAGGGCTGAGAAGGGGAAGAGGGCTGCCAGGGCACAGTCCGAGCAGCAGGAACAGAGACATTTCTAGATCTGCAAACTGTGTTGGAGATAAAACGTCGGGGGGAGCAAGCTGGAGCAGCTGAGTCACTGTGAACGTTCTCAAATGGAGCTCACGATCTTGACCCCTAACCTATCCCTGACAGCTCCCTTCCCATCCACTGTGTAGTCCTGTTGATTCCGCTTCCTCTGTGTCTTTGCAACCCACCCACCCATCCATCTCTGTCACTCATCTGTCACCTACAGATGACACCTACTTCTGGACCAGCCTCCTAACTGGTCCCCTGCTTCCACTCCTGCTCCCTCTGCAAAACGCTTCCCACGCAGCACCCAGAGTGACCTTTCAGAAAACAGAACTCTGATTGTGTCAGTTGCTTAAAACCCATGACTACTTTCTCTCTGACTTTAGGGTAAAGACCAAACTCTCTAAGGAGGCCTCCAGACCCTGCAAGACAGGCGGAGCTCCCTAGCCGCCTCCTACTTCCTCCGTCCTGCGCAAGCCTTTTCCCTTCGGCACTTCCCACCACCCCTTCACCTGGTTAATGCCTCCCTGTGGCCCTGATCTCATCCCAAATGCTACCTCCTCAAGGTCCCTTCCCTGCTACAAACCTGTGTTGTATGTCTACTTCCACTGCTACAAACTCCCACAGCTCCCTTTATTTTTCCCACAGCTCTTCTCCCAATTTGTATTGAGATATAAATACAATTGCAGTATTTTATCCTCATCGCCCCCACTAGACCGAAAGCCCCATGGGTCTTCCTGGATCACACTGAGCCCCATTAGGCACAGCACAGCTGTTTAATAAACATATTCTCAATAAACTGATAAGTAAGATCAGACCCGAAGCGTCTGGAACCCTGGTCTGGGTAGTTCGGCGCATCTATGCACATAAACGTGCGCACAAGCCCCCGCAGCACTCGGCCCCGGGTGCTGGTGCTGAGGAGTGTGTGCAGCCTGGGCGAGCCCGGGCTCGCGTGTGGACGTGAGCAAGTCCTGCTCAAGATGTGCCGCAGGCAGAACCCAGACCAAATTCTCTCATTGACTTCCAGGCTTGGTAAAGTAAGTTTGACTCCCTGCCTAGAGAATGATGAATGATGTGCTTCTGGAAGAAAAACCAAAACCAAAAACAAAAAAACTTGTTATTCCAGTTTATTCATTTATTCATTTATTCATTCATTCATACAGAAAATGCCCTGTGTGCAAGGTCAAGCAGGACCTAGCAACCTGTGGTCTGCTCAGAGCGAACAGCAGTCTGACTTCCAGCCACTGGCCCTGCCCCTGCCCAGGGCGGTACAGCTGCGTCCCAGGCTGCAGACTCCTACTCCCGGCCTCACGTCCAGCAGGAACCACCACCATGACACATGAAGCATTTGCACAGAAGCTTTCAGCTGGATCCGGGGACAGTCGGCCCTGGGAAGTCTTACTCCACTCTCACCCACCGAAACTCGGCCCACTCCGGTATCCCCACAGTACCCACAAACTACCACTGCACCTCCCCTATACTTGGTTTGTACAGTGAGTTGTCACCGGTCTCTGATGAGCTCCTGGAGTAAGGGGATATCTCTTTTCAAAAACATTTAGCACAAGTAATTATGTCACAAATGTTTATGAATGAATGACCAGTTGAGTCACAGGTTATACTCTCTGAACTGTGCTTGTGGTTCAAGAAATAATTAATTAAAACAAGTTTTCAAATGCTCTTTAAGCAAAACAGACAGAAAAATGAGCTACTCTGGTGGAAGCCCATCCTCCGCCACACAGGGGTCCCTCAGAACCCCTTTATGCCCCTAGGGCTTTTACAACAATGAGTAAGCTAAGGACACACTTTAAAAATCTGGATGGATCTCACAAATATATCATCGGAGAAAGGGACCAGACACAAAAGGGTGCATGCATAGTGTGTGACTCCATTTCCATCAAGTTCAGACACAGGCAGAACTAAGCAATGGTGATACTTCTAGGCAGCGAAGGGACCATCTTTTCGGGAGAAGGGTAAGTTCTAGGAGCATGAAGGGACTTTGTTGGGGGTTGGTGATGCGCTAGTTTCTGATCAGGACGGTGACCCACAGGTGTCTCTGCTTGGTGAAAATTCATCCTGTTGTACTCGTAAGATCTGCTCATTTTCCTATAAACTGTCAAAGTTTGTTGAAACATAGTTAAATAAAAACGAATCCTCCTCAGGGCCCTCTAAGCACAAGGTTCTATTTTATGGACCCACTTGGCTGCCCACAGGGGAGCCCTGGGCGACCCAGAGGCTTGCGACAGGACGGCGGGTACTCACGAGGCTTTGACGAGCAGCTGCTCCCTCTCCTGGAGCTCACGCTTCAGACTCTCTACTTCCACCTTGAGCTCGATATTCTTTCAGACGAGATTAGGGAAGAAAAGAAACAGTGTAAAACTACAGGCCACACTGTCTACCGTGGGGAAACCGCTTTCCGCACAGACTGACTACGCCATGCTCGTAATAGGCAGCCATTAGACTCAAAACCTTATTAGCCTCAGGGCACAGGGAAAAGGGAACTATTAAACACTGGTGGTCTCGAAAGAAAGCCCCGGGTTTCTCAAGACTTGGAACAATTATGTAAATTTTCCAAGCTTCTAACAGCCAGAGCATTCAAACATCAAGGCATAAATGTCATACGAGAGAGGCCGATTTAAAAACTGTTTGCCCTCCACCAAGCAAATTTACAAGCGATTCTGCAGTTTGTTTTTACCATTCCAAGGCAATTACTTCTGGTTGTTTACCATCATACATGTGCCGGTTGCAGCAGTGGAAACATTTTAAAGCTTAAAAAAATAAACATGTGGACGGATAAATGGGAGGCCTCGTCCCTGCCTGTCTCATTTCAACGTAAGATTTCAGGGAACTCACAGGCCACAATTGCCCAGGGCAAGCTGTCTATTAGGGACACCGCAGGGTTCACCGACCAAATGTCTTCCTCTTAACTGACGAGGAGGAAGGGAGTCACACGTGGCCTTGGGCTCATAATCCACATGCGGATCCAAACACAGAGTGTGCAGCAAGCGGATCACAACGTGAGGCAGGGGACGGCGGCTGGCCTCTCAAACCAGTCTGAAAACGTATCCCAGACAGAACATCGGATGGATTCCCACGGTAGAAACCGGTCTGGATAAAAAGTTCTCAAAGAACTGCTATAATTCCAGGTTCTCTTTGAAATCTTGCTCCTGTTTTAATAACTCATACCAATTTTACATTCCACTCCATAATACAAGAGTATCATTTTAAATAAAAATGAAATTTCCAGTAATATCTACAGTCTCGGAGGACATGCCTCCCTCCTTTCAGCCGAGCAGCTCTGGGGGACCCCCACGTTGAGAAGTCAGCCAGAAAGGAAAGGCCACAGGTGTGGGAGCAGAGGGCATGGGTCCGAATTCTGCCTCCACTCTTCACCAAGTGGAAACTGCAGTAAGTCAGTAGATGCTCATTTATTCACTCCCTCCCTTCGTGGGCGGTTACCGTCCCCGTGACAGGCCAGGCAGCGGCTGAGCACGTAGGACACTGGTGAGCCAGGCGGACGCAGGCCCTGCCTCCACACTAACAGGGAGCAGGAAACGAAGTGAGCGCCTGTGACTGTCCTCAGAAGCGCAAGTCCAGGAGGCAAGAAAGCGAGGTTCCACCTTTCAGGTCCCCCCAAGTGACAAATGAAAATCACGAAGCCCACCTGCCAAGGGGGATTTTAGGACTAAGTGAACTAAGGGATGAGAAAAGCCTAAAGCCCAGGCTCAGAATACGTTATTTTCTTCATCATCAAACTACAGGAACTAGAAGTCATTTATGCGGCAGTACTTTTCCTAGAAGATGGTAACCTTTGCATAAAGGACACTGAGTGACAGTGCACTGTCTTGAAGAGCAGTTTTGTGAAAACCACAGAACCAGCCTTCGAACTGAGGATTCCTCTCCAGCTCCCAGAAGAGCAAAGAGCGACATGAGAGCTGATTTCTGAGATTCTGAGTGCTTTGCTTTCGGAAGAACCAGCTGGCACTCCAGCCTAGCAAATTTGACAGAACAGAGAACTAACATGTCCACTAGACTATTTTTCGTAAGCCCAATAACCTCAAATTATAAACTTAAATACATTGTAATCATTTCTAAACCAAAAATCAAGGCACCTTAGTAGCATAAAATGGGTTATCAGTATAAAAAAATAAAGAAGCTTTACCCCAGATATTATTAAGGAGAAGTGCAAGTTACAGAAGAGAATATGCTTGCACTTACATGAAAAGGGGACTTACGACATATCCTTGTTTGCATTCACATAAAACTTCTCTGCCTGAGGAACTAGTAATCTGGTTAGACCAAGGGGACAAGGGACAGGGTGGAAGAAAGCCTTTTCAGTGTACACCTTTTATGCTTTTTGATTTTTGAATCATGTACAACTATATAAAAACTTAAACTGCAATAAAAGTGCAATTAAATTGGGTCATCTAATCAGACAATGGAAAAGAACAGCTGAAACAGGGTGGTACAACGAGCTGGGCAGACCTGGGCTCAAAACACGTCTCACGTGTGTCAAGTTACTGACCTCCCCTGAGCTTCAGCTCCCTCCCCCTCAGTGAGGGCGACCTCCACTGCCAAGGGCTGCCTTGAGACGTAGATCAAGGTGATGATGTGCCAAGGCCCAGGACAGGGCCCGCCACAGAGAAGGCAATTAGCCACTTTGGCTTCCTATCACCCCACAAGTTCTGGGACAGGTGATAACTACCCTTACATCCAAAATATTGTAGGCTATTGTCTTTTCTGCGAAAGTTTTATTTTATCACCACTTCCTTCCAGAAAGGGGGTATCCTCTTTGTCTTTCCACCCTCAAAATGAAGAAAAAAAATGTGTCTTGAGGGACGAGGGAGCTTTTCATTTCCGGAAAAGGCTCAGAAGTACCGTACAGTCCAATCCCTCCTCAAGACAAGTCCATTTGAGTTCATCCACTGAAACTCAAGCAGAGTTCTTTTTCCTCCTTCAAAAGTTGCCACTGGTGTAAACTTCAGAAGAGAAAAAAAAAAAGCAATAATTCCCAGGCCAAGGGCTAATCTATTGGAGAAAGCCAAAAATAGGCACTGAAATATTGTTTGTCCTCCTGCCTTTTCAAGAATGCCAAGGTCTTTCTTCAACTCTCAGAACCAAGGTTTATCCTCAGACAGAGGCCTCCAGGCCGAGACTCTGACGTAAACGGACTTTCCTCCCGACAGTGATAAGCAAGCATGCAGAGCGTGCGGACAAGCACACCACAGCACACACATCAACCCTGACTTCGGGCTGCCCACGGAAGCCGCACTCCGACAGTGTGACTGTCCAGCACTGGCTGCCAGCTGGGGATGTTCATCTGTCATCTCGTTGTAATCCACACTAACGACCCTGTGACAGGCGGATTATCACTTACCCTGGGGCAAGCCCGGAGAGCTGAAGTGACTTGCCTACAGTTACACAAATTAGTTGGTAACAATAAGATTAAATTCCAAAGACATTCTACCATTTCACTGTGTTTGTCTCAATTATAAATAAGTTTAAAAAGGCAACTGAGTTACAGTAAATCAGAAGCCCAGTTTTAAAAAGAGAAAAAAGACTACCTTAAAATTAATCTTGTATCTCTTTGCTTAATATTAAGGCCATCCTATTATCTTTATACTCCCCATAATCAATTCAAATTAAATGAAAGCAGCTCTTTCTAGTCACGCTTACCCTAAGAGCAAATATCAATCCCACTTCTGCTTGGAGGCCGATGAGAAAAGGCATCAGGGATGGCAGCAAGAAGCAGGACACTTACGGTTTTACAGATGTGCTCAGTGGGGCCATCAAATTCCTGTTGCATTCTCTCCTCCAGGAAATAGATGCGAAGCTTCAGGTTAAAGTTTTCTTTCTTCAATTCAGTGATTTGCTGAAAAATAAGCACAGGTGGATTACCAAAAGTAAAGGTCTTAGGCACATCACCAACATTAATTCTCATAGGCTACAATGTATTCAAATGTTAAATACTAGAGAAAGCGCACCTTTGCTACTCCTGTACCGACCCAGAATTAAGGGGTTCCCTCTGACCAAATTTAGGACAACCTGAGCATCGAAATGAACAATGACGAAGTAAAGAAAGAATTCAAGCCTCCGCACTGACAACAAGTAAAGGAAGAAAGGAAAAAAGAGAGAGGAACCTGTTCTTCACAAAAGAAATCCAGTGAGTAGATGCAGGAGAGTAACAGGGACAGAAAGCCCCACTGCACAGCCACTGCAGTGACGGCCGGCTCAGGTGAGGATCACCGATACTGACGGAATCAGATGAACGATCGCGGACAACATGACACCGCCCAGTCCTGAGGTCTCACCCCACAGATGGCTTATAATTTCAAGAGGAAAAGGCGCACTTAAAATTCAGAAAGCTAGCAGCCACCACGTTAATAGAGATCACACACCACTGTCCCTTGGGACTCACAGGGAATGGGCGGCAGGAACCCCCCAGACACCAATGTCAGCGGGTGCTCTGGCCCCTTACATACAAGGGTGTAGTAGTTGAATGTAACCTATATTTTTAAAATATTTCTATGGAAAAATGTCCGTGGTTGGCCAAATCCAGAGGCAAAACATACAAATATAGAGGGTTGATGTATTTAATATCACCCTGGTGGGACAGACTGACATCTCGTGTCTCCTGAAATAAATCACTGAAAACAAACAATTTCACTTGAAATACTTCTGCCCACAACCTTTTACCTGAACCTAATCCAAAGCTGTCAATCAGACACATCTAAACTGAAGGACCTTCCCAAAGCAACAGACCTGGACTCTTCAAAAAATCTTACTGACAATCTTAAATTTAAAGTGATTCGGAAATTCTTCTAAATAAATGGAAGTACTAGAGGCATGACAACTAAGTGCAATGAAACCACACAGTGAATCATGAACTAAAAAAAATAAGCTATGGGGGGATAACTAGGAAAATTTGAATAACAGCTTTATATTAGGTAATACTATTATGATTCTGCAGAATTCCCTAACAGCTATATGGTGAAGTACTTAAGGGTGTTATCAAAACATCTGCAACTCTCTAATGAGTGAGGAGGAAGGATTCCACCGAAAATACTATTAGGATTAATAAATGAATTCAGTAAATTTGCAGGATACAAATTAATATTTAAAAATCTGTTATACTTTTATACACAAATAATGACCTATCGGAAAGAGACATGAAGAAAACAACCCCATTTACAAATGCACCAAAAAAAATAAAATACCTAGGAATAAATGTGACTGAGGAAGCAAAACACTTGTACTCTGAAAATTGAGAAAAACACAAATAAACGGAAGGCTATACCATGCTCACAGACTGAAAGAATTAGTAACATAAAAAGGTCCACATTACCCAAATCAATTGACAAATTTAATGCAATTCCTATTAAAATGCCCATGGTATTTTTCACAGAACTAGAACAAAAAATCCTAAAATTTATATGGAACCACAAAAGACCCTGAGTAATAGCCAAAACAATCTTGAGAAAGAAGAAAGTTGGAGGTATCGTCCTCCCAGATTTCAAACTATACTATAAAGCTACAGTAATCAAAGCAGTATGATATCAGCACAAAAACAAATACATAGATCAATGGAACAAAACAGAGAGCCTAGAAATAAACCCACACTTTCATAGTCAATTAATCTATGACAAAGGAGGCAAGGTAAAATTATACAACTTTTAGAAGAATATATAGGGAGAAATCTTTGGAACCTAAGGCTCAGCAGAGTTCTTAGATATAACACTGAAGGCACCACCCATTACAAAAGAAATGTATTGCCCTGGCTGATGTAGCTCAGTGGATCGACCGCAGGCCTGCAAACCAAAGGGTCGGAGTTTGACTCCCAGTAGGGCACACACCTGGGTTGCAGGCCAGGTCCCCAGCAAGGGACACATGAGAGGCAATCACACACTGAAGGTTCTCCCTCTCTTTCTCCCTCCCTTTCCCTCTCTCTAAAATAAATAAAGAAAATCCTTTAAAAATTTTTTATTAAATAAATTGGGCTTCATCAAAAATTAAAACTTTTGCTCTCAAAAACAGTGTTAAGAGAATAAAAAGACAAGCTGCACAGTAGGCAAAATATTTGCAAATCACATATACAACACAGAAACTGTAGTCAGAACACATAAAGAACTCTCAAAATGCAACTGTAAGAAAACCCAGCTTAAAAAAAACAACAAGAGATGCAAGATTTTAAAAGAAATTTCACAGTAGAAGATATACAGATGATAAACAAAAGAAAAGATTTTCAACAACTTTGGCCATTAGAAAAAATACAAATTAAAACTACAATGCCCTACTAGAATAGCTTTAAAATTTAACTGATAATATCAAATGCTGCTGAGGCTGTGGAGCAAATGGAATTCCCATACTCTGCTGCTGAGAATGCAAAGGGCCCAACCTCTCTGGGTAACCGTCTGGCAGCTTCTCACCCCAAAACTACACCGATCATATGGCTCGGTAAAGAAATGAAAACCTGTGTGTGCATGCTTACTGCAGCTTCACTGACGGTTACCAAAATGACAAGAACCCAAATGTCCTTCCGAGGACGGAAGAATAAACAGTCTGCATCCACAGGATGGACTAATGCTGGGCTACTGCGGTACACACAACACCAATGCACTGCGGAGACACTGCACTGAGGGAGAAGCTAGCCTCAAAAGACTACATACTGCACAGTTCCATTTATGTGACATCTGGAAAAAGCAAAATTATAGGGACGAAGGCCAGAGCACAGCTACCAGAGGTCTGGGGTAAAGAGAGGGTTTGACCACAAAAACACAACACACGGGGGCATTCTGGCATTATGGGACCGTTCCATAATCTGGTTGTGATGACGGTCACATGAACCTAGAACAGGACACACTATTTCTATAAATTATAATTACATATGTGTGTGTGTGTGTATATATATACATATATACCTTGATTATAACAGAGGTTACATGAGAGTATACATTTACCAAAACTCATCCAACACTTAAAATTAGTAAAGTTCATTTATGTAAATTATATATCAAACACGTTGAATTTAAAATAACTAAAATGAAATACAGCAAAATATTAATAGCTGAATTTGTATACTAATACATCCCCACACATATATACTCATTGGTTTTTCTCTGCATTTAAAAAAATAATTGCTAAAAGCATATAATGCTCTCTTTATTGAACATACTTTTATGACTGGATAAAAAATGAAAATGATAAGCTTTCTCTACATTATGTTTTCAAACTGTCTGCCCTTGGCCCTCTTGTTAGCAATTTTGTGGCTAATAAGAACAGCACGAGAAACGATTGGGAGGTTCATTAAATCCTCCTTTTGAATGTTTTAAGGAAACAGCGCATAAAACATTCATTCAAACAAAAACGTCTGCCCTGCCAGCTGCATCCTATAAAGACAAACCTTATTCTGTTACTCAGCTACCAATAAAATATTTATGGAGCTTGCATAGAATGTCCACATTGTACGCACTGCTAAAATTCTTCACAGAACACAGGAAAGAATATTTGTCCTATTTATAGGCAAAGACATTTTCTTCAAAAATAAGAGAAAGGTAAATAAGCCTTGAGAAGGTCACTGGGAAGGGCAGACAGGCAGGTGAAGCACAGGTGCCCTCTGCACACCAAGGGCAGTCCGGGTCTCTGCTTAGCACCCCTCCCCCATCAGGTCTGCTCTGACAGCCCCAGCAGGCCGGACTGGGAACCCTCCTAAATGTCTCCATACACCCTCCACTCTCTTCACCACAGCAGTTCCACACTGCATTGTACCAGCCAGTTACCGCCTTTCTACCCAACCATCTCTAAGACACCAGAAACCGTCCTCTGGTGCATTCTAGTCTACAATGTATGAGACGGTTACTAAATACCCAGAGGCCAGCCCGGTGAACCACCCACGTGACAGTTCCTGAAGGCCGTGCGATGCAGGGAGGCAGCGGCCAGACCAATCTGGTTCTTACCACTCCACAGTTCCTGGCCCACTGCGCTTAGACTAGAACTCCAGGCCGTGGTCACAAAGCGCTGCACGTCTGGCTCCCACCTGCCGTAGTCTCGACAATAAATCCCCTCTCCTGCTCAGTGTTCCAGCCTCACTGGCCTCCTTTCTGGTCCTCAAACAAGCCCAGCCCGTCTGTCTACACAGCCCTTCCCGCAGCTCTCGTCAGGGTGGCTCAGTCTCATCCTTCCTGTCTCGGCTCGAATGACACCAACGCAGAGGCCCTTCCTGACCACCTGGTCTAAAGTGGTCCCCATCTCTACCACCTCCACCAAGTCACGTTCCAACACGTAACTCTTAATTTCTCGCCAGAACTTTTCACAATCTGTAGTCACCTTATTTGCTGACACATTTATTATTATGTTTATTATATGAATATAATCCACTCCTTGAGGGCATGGACCTTACCAATTTATGGCCCTGAGGTTTTAGCACAGTGCCTAGAACACAGTAGATACTCAACATTTGTTCAATGAATGAAAAAATTAATAAATAAATATAATCCAGACTACCTTACCAGCTGTATGACTTTAGTCAAGTTCATTTTACCTTATGCCTCAGTTCCTTTACCTATAAAAATGGGATTATAATAAAGCCTATCTCAGAGAGCTATTACAAGGATTAGAAATTAATTTGAACATTTTGTATTATGTCTAACACAGCATAACAACTGAAAACATATTTTCTTAAGATTTTATTTATTTTTTTTAGAGACGGGGGAGGGAGGAGAAAGAGAGAGAGAAATGTCAAGATGTGGTTGTCTCTTGCACCCCCCCACGGGGGTTGTGGCCCACAACCCAGGCACGTGTCTTGACTGGGAACCAAACCAGTGACCTTTTGGTTCACAGGCCTGCGTTCAATGCACTGAGCTACACCAGCCAGGG